AATCTTAGAGTCAGTATGTTCAGTTAGGATGTTCGAAATCCACACGGATCACAAACGATCTGGCCATATTAGGAGGGGGAAAGACCATTCAATCAATGTGTCTACCGTGAAAGCAACACACGATTTTTACGTTTTTAATTATATCACTGGTACGAAGGCAGACGGTTGGATACTAGTTGAATATTAGTAAAACAGACTGCGAACCATTTGCGTTCCAATTGTCGCTAGTGCTACTTTCGTTAGCCAACTGTTTCTGTTCGTTTCTCCGTTCACCCCGTGCACTTAACAATGTCACCATACCAGAACGTTATCCCATCCCATACCTACACGATTTTTCTTCTTCAAACGGATGTTGAACTGTGTGAGAAAATCGGCACCAGTGATAGGGTGATGCATGTCAGCAATGATAAAAATCCAGGTAAACTCACGGCGTAACCCGAGGTTAACTCGTAAAACACGCTGCCTGTAAGTCTTGAGAGAAGAACCACTGACGGCAGTTAGAGTGAAAGTAGAAGGTTTGGAGTTGGAATAAGTGGTGGATAGTAGAGGAATAATGCTGATTTCGGCTCCAGTGTCAATAAGAAAACTGAGGCCAGAAGTTTTGTCGAAAACTGTCAGCTGGCGAGTGATATTAGGAGGGCATTGAACTTTACTCGCCTCTATGGTTCTGCCCGTGCTTTTCCCGAAATTGACGGGGTGGGGGGTATTTCGGAAGGAACACAGTTGCGAGCACTTGCGTGCACGATGTCCGAATGTGCTATGGTACCAAGAGTGACCATTTCCCGTGGAGGGTGAAAGTGGCCGAGAATGCGAGCGTGGACGCGACAGCGCACGGCGAAACTGGTAGGGTCGAGACAAGAAATAGCTTCTACTTGTTTAGTTAACTTGTCAAGACGATTTTGAAAAGTGGACACAAAAACTAGTGTATCTACAGAAGAAACACTAGAAGAGCACGGTTGAATTTCCAGTATCTTATCTGCTATGCTGGCAAGTCCAGATTGTGGAACACCTGAACTGGAAGCGAGAGTCGATTGTACATGGGTAGATAAACGTTTCAGAAAAAACCTGCTTAAACGAAGCTTCAATTTTGCGGTCCCCTATAATGCTGGAAAGTCGTTACAATAGTTGAGATGGGGTAGAGCCATCGAGAGATTCTCCGCTAAGTAGTTGTTCCAGTCGTTTGTGTTCGGATAAACTACAGCGTTTAATGATGGCAGTACGTAATCGCTTGGTGCCGTCAGGGCCCATTACTATGCCGCGTAACTCGGCTGCGATTTCGGGAGGGAGTACTGCAGGCACATGGTAATGCACTGTATGCTGTTGCGTGATTCCGCGAAGGGCAAATTGAGCCTGAACTTGTGTGAACCAGACGCATGGGTCGTGGTGGCAGAATGGTGGAAGATGAACAGAGACAGCGTTAATGTTAGGTGTTGGTGTGATTGAGGGTGAGGGAATATCTTGTACTGGAGGAACTGACATGGTATAAGTGTTACGTCGGGCTCACCGCTTGTTAGTGCTCTAGTTGTGACGTAATTAAGTAAATTATCAGAAGGTAACAAGCACTAACAAATGTCTGTCTTACTAGAATGTGAGGAATACAATAGTTGGGTGCACTTGATAAAAATAGTGGAATAAGCCAGAAAGTGACTCATCGTTTGAGGGTACTTGTTGAGAGTTCCCGAGTGAAGTTCCGGACGCGGGACATGTTTTCTCTGCCGTGTATCTGCTATACGTGTTCCGTAGTTGGCAGCTCTGTGACCTTGCTGTCCTGTGCGCGCGAGTGTGTGTTGAGCCTAACAGTATGCGTATTTATTGTGTGCAGTGTGAAGAGGGGGGTGTCCCTTCGTGTTTGATTCTTGCACGAACATGAATACAATTTATCTGATGTGTTGAATGAAGTTCATAAGCCTGGCGCGTGACGCAAGTGGTATACGCGTAAACAAAAAAATGAATGAGAAGTTTCAGTGTACATGTTGTCTGTTGCAAGTGGGACAGGAATTGTCACGTGGTTTGAGCGTATTTGACGTGTGTTCTAGTGAGTGACCTCTACAGATGTCCAGTAGCCAGTTGGACTGCGTTGAGTTATGCGCAAATCCACAAAGGTCGAACGGTCCTGGTGCACGTTTACGAACAACTACTGTACTGTGAGTAAAATGATAAAACGTGAGGAACCCCAATCACTGGGGTTTACACCGACTTCTACAGATTAGGACAAGTAATGCTGACTCCAGATAGGATTTTGTGCAGGATAAATTGACCACAATATTACAAAACCTGCGTTGCTGTGCTGAAATAGGGGCATGTTGCCAAAGTCAAAAAGTAGTTTACGTCTAGGTTAAAAACAAGGAATGAACAAGCAAATGAACAAAATGGTGAATGCCGTTATGGACAATAAGATTAGAGCAACTAATTCAACAACATATTCCATATCCGGTTACAGTTACGTTTGCTTCGCCGTCCAAAATGTTCTGCCTAGTACACCCTGATTTTTCTTTCATGTGAAAACGTTGTCTGTGATTGAGGGAGGCAGAATTGTCAGAATTGGCTTCAGGTGGTGCAGGGTCACTAGAAGGGTTTTCGTACAACACGATCGGCTCGTTACTTTTATTCGAATATTCATTCATCCTTGACTCTGGAATTTACGGTATTTAACTCTAATTGTTTATCGGTCGTCAGTTTATCAAACTGCAGCACTTTTTTTTACTTGTGTTGAACTTACCGAAAAATAGACTCCTAATGAGTAAACTTACATTCTGTCCATGGTGCGCACTGCCGTCGACTTCCTTACAAAACAAGGTATTTCATATTCCTTTGCAGTAACAAAGATCGGGCTGTGGGTCGTTTGTGTCAAGTTTGAACGCAGTGCTGCTGTTCGCGCACTGACAGTGGATCAACGAAACGATGTTTTTAGCAACATGGTTTCTTTACTGTTTAGCGGTATTGCCGGTCGACTACGTAAGTGTTTTTGTTATTTCGCATATTTACTGCCTATACCCCACGTTTTACAGCTACGGGCTGTCTATGCTCCGTGTCCTGCTCCATATTAGCCGAGTGACCTTCAAATCCATTATTGTTTTGTGAATTTTCGCTTGGCCTCCAAATCGATATTTATTACAACAGTTAGTATTCTGTGGCTTGTCCGGGACGTATATTATCATTCTAGTCGTCCTTCATTTTCATGCTCTACACTTTAAATCACACGTCTGGCGTGTGTGGGATTTCTTTATAATGAATTTCTCGTGTGAACTGAGGATGAGATGTGCTTATGCTCCTTTCCGAGAAGGGATCACAAGTGAACAAAAATGATATAGTTCAATCCGTGGAAACACGCTGGAGCCGATTGAGTAGTCATCGTTTTCGAAAAAATTGGTAACAGTCGGTAGATTTATTGCTGGGCTCGACTTAGCTGATTGGTTCTCCTTCCGCCTCAAATCTCGACCAACCTCGAAACCTAGTCACTTGGCCTGACGAAGCTTTTGTGTCAAAAACGAAACGTTGCCCAGCAATAAATCTCCCGACTGTTACCAAACCTTTCCGAAAACGAGAAATTAATAGCCCATACCGCCGTTTCAGGCTGAAAGAAAACTGGGCCGATCCGCGACCCTTGGGATATTCAAATTGGCTCACAACCGAGTGACTTCTTTCACAATTGTGACAATTAATCGAATTTCGCTGTTTTTCTAGGTAATTGCTCTTCTCGTAAACCGCGACCGTCAACGCTGTTGTGCAGACTACCACTCGAAGCAGCAACCAGCTCTTCTTTAGTGTTTACGCATGCATCTTGGACTCGTATCGGAAGGCTCAGATGCCAAATGCGGAATCATCGACCACATTGGGTAGTGCTCGGCACTGGGTAGACAAAAGTTTTCCATACGCGCTCTCTGCTGCATCTTGATGGTTTCACATAAACTTGGGATTGTTTGCTTGGTTGTTTGCTAGCGTGGATGCACCTGATCGTGGTAGACGTAGCAAGCCACGAATATGTTGCCTGATCTATTTATCCAATATTTAGAGCATGTTTTGGTTGACTTCGCTGAGCATGAGCGAATATGTCAGCCTCGGTATCAAGTAGTTCCTTGTGACTACGTTTTTGATACGGCTTCAACGGGCACGCGTCACCTCATCGAGGAGTTTGAGAAGCTGCTGTCGGTGGTTTCTGACTTCTTTTCCTTGGAAATAAAGGAGACGCCCAAATATGTCACGGTGTCTGTCGGACGCAGAGGATGGACAAGTTCCTCGGCGAAGCAAAATGGTTCGACTGAGACCATCGCCGCCCGACGTTTCCTGTCCTCACAAATCACCATCGCTTTCGTCTTTCGGTCGTTAACCTTTATACCAGCTCTTCTCAACTCGACCGCAGCAGCTTCAAGCTTCTCTTTAAGGCGAGCCTGACTTTTTTCACACATGAACCAGTCGTCAACGAAGGTGAAAACATCCACTAACGTGTCATGGAACTGGTGTCCTAGTTGCGGCATTGACAGTCTAAGAAACTGATTCATTGTCATGATGAACAATAATGCGGAGAGTGGATCTCCCTGCCTCGGACGCTGCATCTTTCCGTCGTTGGTGGTATAGGGTGCGGATGGCTGCTTGGTTGGCTCGGCGTATCCGCTTTCGGTTGGCTGGCACACAATGGTCTAGCTGAAGACGACGTCGGGACACAGGATTCTTCGTGCGTGAAAATGTCTTCGAGGCGCGGGGGTCCAGAAGTGACAGGGCTTGCAGCGATATCATGATGCCAGACTGCAACCCTCATACATATGCCGGGACATCAATACTAGCAAGCAAACTCTCAGCATTGGATTCCAATAGTGAGACGGCGCAATCCACGGTCTGTTTGAACCAGACGCTATAGTCTTCAGATGCTGACGATTAGACCGCTGTTTGATCGATGGTTCGGTCAGGGCCACTAGATGATGATTCGTCCAGTTGTGCTTGCCTGGTTGTGATGCTGATAACCGATCGGCCAAGAAAATACTGCTCCAAACTCATGAACAGTGCGTGTCACAAGACGGATATAAATTGTTAGCCAGGCACAAGGGTTTTCGTGACTTGTTGGAACCAGCGGACACGGGAATTCTTCACTCGACTAAGTTTATCTGCATTATGCTGGGTGGAATGTGCGTGCCAGCGGTGTTAATTCAGGCCAGTATTCTTCAGAACCAGGCGGGAATAATAGGCGCAGGCCAATTGCCGGACCAATTTTGTACCGACACTTTCCTGGATGTGAACTCGATGATAGGCTACCGAACCAGCACTTGTCACAGTCCTCACATGTGAGCTCCACGAGTGTGTATGGGGCTTTTACGTACGTTTGGAACTAACGCGGAGGCACCAGGTGATTCGTGTGAAACCAAACAGGGTGTTGAGCCCTGTCTGGAGTTGCTGAACTCTTAGCTCACCCAGACTGACGTCAGGGCTACCCAGTCGACATCCTGCTTGGTGCTCAAGAGCTAAATTTTTACGTGCCGCCGTATGAAGATGAAGAATCGGAAGCCTCGCTATAACGGGTGTCATACTGACACCTCTGTAGTCACTACATTCATTGCGAGTACTGTTTTTGGAGATGGTTACTATTATCGAGGATCTCTGTTTTAGCGGATTATTGAGCTGCTAAGCATTTTCGTCCTCGCTATGCACCTAATTGTAACCAATATCACCGGTCAACTGCATCGGTTGACAAGCGTAAGTAAAACGATGCAACAACGAGAAACGCGTGACTTTTCACTGGTCACTGTAATTGTTTTTGTCACTGCTTTTATGTGTGCACACGTGACGTACAGTTGCGATTGGCAACAACCCTCCATTCTTTCTATGGATCACATGGATCTTCAGCTGGCTACTGGCATTCAGTAATCTCCTACCTGAATTTCCTTGTATACACTGAAGTGGCACATTATGACGGCAAACCGTCTGAATCAAATCACCACTGAGATCCTTGTTGGCATTTCTGAACGACGAGAAAAATCACCCTGGTAGAACAACAAAATTTCACTTCGTGCAAGTTACAGTCCAGATGTGGTAAAAATAAACGCGACTGCATTTGAAAGCCAATAGAGACGAAATCCACATATTTTAGAAGCAAGGCCGAACTGATTTGCGGCTTTGAGAATGTCCAGGTCAAGTCAACTGAAGTAAAGTCTACGCGGTCATAGTACCAGCGCCAGAGGTATGGCGTTCACGCACATAAAGTTCCCACATTTGAGAGATTAGTGCATGTGTTTACAATGTTTGATGTTTTGTCTTTGTTGTCATCCAATACCTATTCACACACCTGGACTGGGAGAACTTTGTGTGGACCAAAGTGGATTTTCAACCTTGTCAGGACGTACTACGTTGATGCGCAAGACATCAATCAGTTGTCTGGCATATATGCACTTACGACTTAGCTTCCACACAATGGTGCATTTCGTGAAGAATGAAGAGTCACTAACACATCCGTTCTGAGTCGATGTAGGACCCATAATGCAAACGAATAGGCAACTTCTTTAGACGGGACTCGAACTCGCGTCCCCCTTTGTTGGGTGAATTGTCTACCAACTGATTTAGAAGCATACTGTTATAAGTCGCGCGTGTGCACTTGCGCTCAAATTTATTCTGTCTGCTGCGCTTCCTGTTGAGACGTGTTAATTCTTGTGGGTTTCTCTTGGCCCTCATTGTATGAATGGTGGAAAGTTAATTTTCCAGATTTAAGTAAACTGGGCATTAGTGTTTAGGTGGCGTTTTTCGTTTCCCTCTCTCATCCATTATTTGGAAATTTATTTTTCTCTGTGTACATGTTTATACTTCTCTTACGGGGGATCACGAGTAGCGTGAACGGTCAAATGTATTCGTTTGGTTTCCTTCACGACAATCCAAGTACCTATTGTGCCTTATTCGTTCGATTCCTCCCATCTCTTCGCAGCCCCGCTTCTTAAAGACGGTGAGTTACCTTGAAGAATCCTGTTTTCCATGCCCTATATACAGTACTTTGGTAATTGATCAGGTGGCTGTTGATCTGTTCGCCGAGCTTGACTATATAAACGCAGGCACGAAGAGAGGAACTACTCAACCAACAGCGCACTGAAGATGTCTCCTCGAATGGTGACGAAACGTTTGCAAATCAATTGCCAAGCTCGGCGAACAGATCAACAGCCACCTGATCAATTACCAACCAATACACCCGAGCTACCAATATTCCAAAACATTAACATACAGTACTTTGGTAACCTTATTCTTGGTAGCTTCTAAGTCGTGTTTCCTGCGATTTCTGTTGATGCGTTAGTAGGATGATTTTTGCCAGATTGTAGGTACGAGAAATCGGCTTGCGGTACCTACTTTTTCTGACCAATATTAAGAGGACTTGTGTCCTTGTCACATTTCTTGTGGTTGTCATCTGTTATGTTCACTGGCTTCTTAAGAGAATGTTGTTCAGCTGTAGCACCCTTCCGGTGCCTAGCTGCCATGCCACCCGAAGGAAGCATGAGGGCTAGGATACTGCCAGGTTGCCCAAGCCTAGACAGGGGAAGTCGAGAGGCGGAGGTCGGATTCGAACCACGGACCTTCCGGTCAGTAAATTGGCGCTCTAACCACTTAGGCCATCTCGCCCAAGAGAATGTTGTACGGCACCTACAAGCTTGAACAGCTTTAATGCTCACGTCCTAAGTCATCTGATCCGCAATCCCCACCTTCTGCCGGTTTTGCAGATAGTATGTGTTTGGCAGTTATCTGGCATCGAACGATAAGAGCTAAGTGGCCGACACCAGTATTTCAACCAAGGACTGTCATTCTGGAGGGAGCACTCTCTTCAGTATCCCTCTACTTACAATGTCGAGAGCGTTGAGACGATGATTTTAATCCGTTTACGCGTTAATCAAAACGCGTTATTCATTAAGTGTGGAAATTCATCCACACGCTGTGTGGTGGCCTATAAGTGCTCGAACACGTTCTTTCTACTGGATCATCGTCATCATCAACTGCACATTAGTGTAGCACACCCATCCTTCATTTTGTACAGCCGTAATTTGTTTCAAAACATTGTGATGAAAAAAAGAATAAAAAATGTGGGAAAACGGATCCGGTGCTGACGTACTGCACGCATTCCGATGTTTCTACACCACGAGACACTCATTTGGACGACCCGGATATGGAGTGAAATCTACGCTGCACAACTGAACACGCGTTTTCTAACTGTTTTGTTGCGTCGATTCGTTTTATCTACCCACACACCTTCATAGTTCTGGGGCAACGGTTGTCAAATACCTGAAGATATTTCAGTCCCATTGCCTGCAGAGGGCACGTCTCAATTATATGATAAAATGGCCAGTACGGGTGTCTCAAATTAACATAAGTGATCCAAGCCTTGAAGATTCGTGCTCTGACACCATCTTGTGCACTACAGTTGAAAATTATCCAGTGTCTAAGGTGTGTGGAACACTCCATAACTTCATGTGCCTCCTGGATTGCTTGACGTATTCGGTAACTTTCATGACAAAATGCATATGCTCGAGGATGGAATGAATTGTTCGGTTCGTCCGAAGCACACCAGCGCCTCTTTTTCCTCTTGGTAGACGAGCACGATGTCGTCGGTAAGAGTAAGCTCTGTAAGGTAATTTTGATAATCTATTAATGCCCAAGTGCTTTGAAGGCTTTCTGTCGTCTGTATCATCATATCATCGATCACGACATGATAAAATTGAAGTGAGCGGATATCACGTTTTGCAAAAATGCCTTTGCTGAACCTTCATTACATATCCCCGCTCGCAAGATTTTGGAACACCATCAAGTTGTTATATTCGCAAAATTCACTGCACGTTGAGGAAGATCGACTGGTTAGAAGAGTCAGATATTCCTTGGAAATCTGGGGCTTTATGTCACCGCCAAAGCATCCTGATGTCTAAATTCCTAGCTTTCTCCAACAAGCACTTGAGGCGTGATAAAATTTCCTCTGCTGGTGTCATAGCCACAATTTGTTGGAGCACACCGATGATGATGAAGCGTTTGTAAGCAAATTGCCAGGTCTACATCTGCGTAAGGTACAACCAATTGGCGCACCCGACCTGCCACCGCTCGCACTTTACTTCCTCACCTAACGGACCAAGCTGTCCAACCTAGTATACGAGCCTCTTCCGATGTCCCTGAGACGGTGTAGCATGATAGGTCACGGATGTGCACAAACCGCCAAACCGCGTTGAGGCGTGCGCTCCTTTTGGCAGTTTCTACTGAGTACTCACA